TTCAAAGGGAATGCTTCCAGTTTTTGTCCTTTCAGTATGATATTGGCTGTGGGTTTGTCATAAGTAGCTGTTATTATTTTGAGATACCTCCCATCAATACCTAATCTATTGAGAGTTTTTAGCATGAAGACCTGTCGAATTTTGTCAAAGGCTTTTTCTGCATCTGTTGCGATAATCATGTGGTTTTTGTCTTTGGTTCTGTTTATATGCTGGATTACGTTTATTGATTTGCATATATTGAACCAGCCTTGCATCCCAGGGATGAAGCCCACGCTTGATCATGGTGGGATAACTTTTTTTGATGTGGCTGCTGGAATTTGGGGTTTGGGAGTTTTTATCTGAAAAGGCATTTTGCATGAGGGTCATCAGGGATTGATTGGGTTCAACAATGTCTCTTTTTTTGTTGGCTCTCCTGCCAAGGCCTTTGGTATAAAAGGGATGATTGCCCTGGCCCCCCATGAAAAATGAAGTTTAGGGGAGGATTCTCTTTTCTATGAATTGGAATAGTTTCCAGAAAGGAAATGCTACCAGCTCCTCCTCTGTACCCTGGTAGAATTTGCGCTGTGGAATCCGTCCTGGCCTAGGGGACTTTTTTCTTGGATTGGTAGGCTATTAATTATTGCCTCAATTTCAGAACCTGTTACTGATCTATTCAGAGATTCAACTTCTTCCTGGTTTAGTCTTGGCAGGGTATATGTGTCCAGGAATTTATCCATTTCTTCTAGATTTTCTAGTTTATTTGCATAGAGGTGTTTATAGTATTCTCTGATGGTAGTTTGTGGGATCGGTGGTGATACCCCCTTTTTCATTTTTTATTGCATCTATTTGATTGTTCTCTCTTTTCTTCTTTATTAGTCTTGCTAGTGGTCTATCAATTTCATTGATCTTTTCAGAAAACCAGCTCCTGGATTCATTGATTTCTTTGAACGGTTTTTTTGTGTCTCTATCTCCCTCAGTTCTGCTCTGATCTCAGTTATTTCTTGCCTTCTGCTAGCTTTTATATGCGTTTGCTCTTGTTTCTCTAGTTCTTTTAATTGTGATGGTAGGGTGTCAATTTTAGATCTTTCCTGCTTTCTCTTGTGGGCATTTAGTGCTATAAATTTCCCTCTATACACTGCTTTAAATGTGTCCCAGAGATTCTGGTATGTTTTGTCTTTGTTCTCGTTGGTTTCAAAGAACATCTTTATTTCTGCCTTCATTTTGTTATGTATGCAGTAGTCATTCAGGAGCAGGTTGTTCAGTTTCCATGTAGTTGAGTGGTTTTGAGTGAGTTTCTTAGTCCTGAATTCTAGTTTGATTGCACTGTGGTCTGAGAGACAGTTTGTTATAATTACTGTTCTTTTACATTTGCTGAGGAGTGCTTTACTTCCAACTGTGTGGTCAATTTTGGTATAAGTGTGATGTGGTGCTGAGAAGAATGTATTTTCTGTTGATTTGGGGTCGAGAGTTTTGTAGATGTCTATTTGGTCCCCTTGGTGCAGAGCTGAGTTCAATTCCTGGATATTCTTGTTAACTTTCTGTCTCGTTGATCTGTTTAATGTTGACAGTGGGGTGTTAAAATCTCCCATTATTATTGTGTGGGAGTCTAAGTATCTTTGTAGAACACCTTGTTTTTTAATGAAAAGGAAGAAAGAAAGAGAAAGGAATGATTTTCATAACTCTTTGGTTTGGAAATTAGTTTTGATTCTGGATTGTATCTGTTTACTTAAAGGAAACCCTTAGTATTTTTCACTAAGATTATTTTCAACTATAATTTAGTACAAATGACAAATATCAGAATTTAGAAATGGAAATTAAATTATTGAGGTTTTACTGATAAAGTAATCTCTTTTAAGTGGGACATACTTTGTGTGTAATAATCATCTGTGGACAGAGGAATCAATGTAAAATTAGTGGAGAACAAACTTACAGAATTTTAGTTATTGAAGAGCTTTTTGGTGGTTTCCCATTTTTTTCTGTGCTGAACATTTATTCCTTCTGTTACGGAATGTTCTTATATGATGTTAGAGTAAACATGGAATATACAATATCATGAAGATTTCTAATGTGAGAACTTTTATAGACTTTTTATTTGTTAAGTGGTTTAAATGAGAGCTAGAAAAATGTTGTCAATAAAGTAAACTTCCAAAGGCCTGTAAGATATCCAGACTTTTACTCCAGGCGTCTTATAAACTATTAAAGTGCTATGTGCTATAATTTCCCTTCCCCTACCTATAACATTCAGTAAAAGCAAATGACTAGAGATTCAAAATGAATTTTTAATTATTTTCTGTGTGTTCCTTGCCTGAGTTTACTTATTTTTTTCTCTTAGGATCTGAGCAGCAAAGATATGAAGAGAGATTTGTATATCGTTGCCCATGTGATCCGAATAGGTACTGTTCACCTTACCCATTCACATGACTAAGACTGGCCCAACTTGGAACAAGTATGTCTTGTGCATGAGCTTTGTTTTCTCCCTAGATCTTACTTGTAATTTCAGATCTCAGGATTAGAGTCTAGCTTGTATTGAAGCTATGCCTAAGCTCAACTGCTGTGGTAGCTTGGTTTGATATAAATGGATTTGGGGGAGTGGGTTTTGTTTGTGGTTTTTAATCACTTCAAACCTTCTGCTCCCTATCTGTTTTTAGACCCAAAGTTTTTATTTAAAATGGTCTGCTTATAGACATTATTTCTAACACAGTGCCCTGCCTCTGTACCTACCCTTTCCCTCAGAGATCTTATAGCAGTTTTCCAGAGGTACCAACTTCACAGCAAATGCCATTCAGCACCTATTGGTTGTGTTTTAAATTATGTATCTGTGGTTCTCTCCACAAAATTAGAGTTATTGTCATCACTCCCAACGATGGATGGTATTTCACTTCTATGCCACCCAAGATGAAAAAGTGATTTTTACTACTGTTCTGTGGTTGGTTTGCTCAGACTTATTTCAAGTTTATGATATAACTTTTGGGCCTCTGGTGAACCAAGTCCTCCTTCATAGGTTTGAGTTCTGGCCTATCATGTACATTTTTATCAAAGAATATTTTTTAATCTCTTGCCAGCAAAACAGCTATTTTGCTGTACTTAAAGTGTTTGTTAAGGTTCCAGCATTTGCAACTCTTCTTGCTGCTGTAGGCACAGCTTTGGTAAGCTGGAAAAGTAAATATTCATCCACTTTTTAAGACTACTCTCAATCCCACAATTGTTCAGGATGATGTTGAACAGCGGAATTTGGTTGAAAGAACACAGTATCCTCCTTGTCTGTACATATGTAGCTTATACCTGGCAGCTAAAATACTAAACTTTGTACCTATAACGTACCTGAGAAGTGTAAATCTATTATTAGCACATTGGTTTTTCTAAGAAATTCATAAAATCACTTTTATTCTCATGTGATTAATAAATGAACTGTTGATATTGATTTAGAGTTAGATAAGAATGATTGATTGAATGTAGTACAGGGAAGAGCTTTGGCCAGAGGCCTCTTTGGTGTTCTTACACATAAATATCCTTCAGCCCTATAGTCTTCCAACTTAGAGGATTTCCTAGGTGCCTGTAGCTCAGGCATCCTTGGATGACAATTAGGCAATACTGGAGAGGAGCATGCTTTTCTCAATCTGACTGGTGTTTTCTGCTGTGCCCAAGGCCGGATGCTCCTGAACGACTCAAAGAAAGGTCCTCCTCACCTGCACTACAGGCGACCATATGGCTGTGCGGTCCTAAGCATCTTGGATGTCCTACAGTCACTCACAGAAGTAAAGGAAGAAAAGGATTTTGTTCTTAAGGTTTACACGTGAGTAATGGACATCAGGAATATTAATGATTTGTAGCATAAGACATCCCACCACTGTCCTTGAGAGCAGCAGTGCTGAAACCTTGAGGACACGGGCCACACAGTGGCTCACATCTGTATTCCCAACACTTTGGGAGTCTGAGGTGGGCGGATCACAAGGTTAGGAGATCAAGACCACTCTGGCTAACATGGTGAAACCTCGTCTCTACTAAAAATGCAAAAAATTAGCCGGGCATAGTGGCACGCGCCTGTAGTCCCAGCTACTCAGGAGGCTGAGGCAGGAGAATCGCTTGAACCCGGGAGGCAGAGGTTGCAGTAAGCTGAGATTGTACAACTGCACTCAAGCCTGGGTGACAGACTGAGACTCTGTTTCAGAGAAGAAGAAGAAAAAAAAAAAAAGAAAGAAAGAAAAAAAAAAAAAAAAATCTTGTGGACATAGAATCACCAGGATGTAGGAAAGGGAGCTTTTTGAAAATGCAGAAGATTGATCTAAGATTTGGGGTGGGACCCAGGCAGCGTTGTTTTTAATAAGCTTCCCAGGTAATTCTGAAACAGCTTCGTTTGGGACCTTCTGTCCTAAAGCGACAATGTAGTACACATTTTCTTTTTTCTCCAGAATTAACCAATCTTATGTATTTGCCGAAAAGCTAACAATATACTTCTCATGTGTCTTGGCTATGAGAGTCTTGTGTGTCTAATGCTTGCCCACCAGTTATTATAACTGAGCTGGCTAATGATCAAGATTGTTTAAAAGAATGATCATGAGTCAGGTTTCTCTATCTTTGAAAGATAGCCAATTTTTCTGAGGAACCAAGATATTATTCTTCACTTGTGCCACTGGAGATCGATAAGTCATATCCAACCAGGCATGGCATTATTTTTAGTGATCTTCAACCAAGGGATATTGTCTTAGATAAGCAGTCCATCTCCTTCTAACTTGTGAAACAATAGGAAAAACACAATAATGAAAAGTACAGAATTCAGTCATATACTTCTTCTTTGCTCATGTAGAGTTAGACACAAATTGTAGTGCTAAAAAATGATCACCGATGAGTTTATTAAGTTTTTAAAGCAAGTATATTTAAAACTGTGAGAATTTTTAAAAACTCATCTTTCAGTTTAAACCCAGTATTGTTTGTCCAAATTAAATCAAATACTGCCAATCACCATGTTAATGTATCTTCACCATAATATTGTATAGAGATTTTTCTGTAGTATCTGTTGCTGTTTCTGACTTGGGCATGAAATAAGCTTAATTCACAATATCTGTTAAGCCACATTTGGTTAATTTCAAAATAAAATCCCAATCTCCTCATTACCTATTTTCCCTTCAGCTTTGTTCTATTCAGAGTTGTATACTTTATGGGATGAGGAATCTTCCTTTGGAATCATAACTTACAAAGAAAATTTTGGCTGGTTTTCTCCTCCTTCCATGCGTCAGTCACAGGCTTTCTCCATTTACCGAATCCTCATATTGATGGGTGGTGAAACCTGCTAGTTTATGTGCCTTCCTCCCTTTGAAAAGGACTAAACAGAAATCCAAAATCATCATTATCATCTTACTCCACTGTATTCCTTCCAAGGGCAACGGATTTATAGAGAGCACTCCAGAATTGTTATCTCTTTGCATGTATTATCCCTTCCTTGTTTCGGTGCAAATTTTCATTACAGATAGGAGCTTGCACAGCATTCCTCCTGAAATCATGCTGTCAGGCTCAATTGGCCTAATTGCTTCTAAAGCAACAGCTTTCTGCGAGAAACAGGATTCACGTATATATTTTTCTTAGCTCCTTCTTATGGGTGGGCTGTGTCTAGTATACTAGTTCTAAAAAACTGAAGAAAAATATGTTTATAGAGAAGATTTTTTTTCAAATTTTCTTTTGAAGGATTAATAGAGTAAAAATGTTCAATAATTTTTCCACTTGAAAATATTAACAGACTTTCAAACGGACTATCAAATGCATGTTTGTGAAATTGATTTTGTGTGCAGTATAGAATTATTCTAGGATTAGTCATTTTAATCCACATCAGCACAGTGAATCTAGCCCCCGAGGAGAAGCAATATTTTCCAGTAAGTTTCAGGCAACATTTTTGTTGGTTAGATTGAATTGGAAGCTTAAAGAGTTTACTAATTGCAGTTGATAGTGCTTTAGCCTTTGCTAGGACAGGACTTTACAAAGATGAAAACCTCTTATACAGTTTTAATGAATGAGTTAGCAAATATCTGATTAGTTGTTCACGTTCTCATCATTTCTTTCATTGTTCATAGTCAGCCTTATCCAGAGAAGATAGAAACTCCTGTCTGTCTCTGCCAAGGCCACTACTCTGCTATATAATGTTGTTTTCACGTGTGTATGGGAAGGTACTACATCCTTTTAAGAAAATTGCAATAAGAAGCTGAGGCATGAAAACTAGGTCACTTCCTAATAAGTCAAAAGCCTTAAAACTCACAAATAAATAACCATATGTACATTTCAGTCTGATACAGATACCATAGTTTTCTTGACCAGAAGGACAAGAGGTCACAAGCAGGCACAGGGCATGCTGTACTTAGAACCCAAAAACCAGGAGCTAAAGCCCACATTGGAGGAGGTGGGTGTCCGTAAATAATGCATGTAACCAAATACAAGATGGCTTTGAATATGTGATGATCGCTGTCCAATTTTACAATGAAAAATGTCCAAATAAACGTATTTAGGCCAACCTTAATGAAACAGATAAATACATGTTTTGAACATTAAATTTTTAATTTGGGTTACAGTGTATTTTATATTTTAAAATATGTATTACAAATTATGTAATACACATAAAAATCACATATTATTTAAAATTGAGATGTATTGCTTATTCTTGACTCTCAAATTTTATGAAAAAATTTATTTAAATTATTCATATGCAGCCATGTCATCAGGTCTTTGTCTTCACTTAAGCCACTTTCTGAATTATCTGACACAGTTTTCCGAGGCACATTATTTTTACTCCCATCAGATTGGCTTTGATGCATCATTCTTTGACACTTTCATGACGCTTTCACACTGGAAATTCATCTTGAGGCACAAGATGATACCGCCACTTACTATGCTACTTTTATGGTGGTTTTTACAATCACATTTAACACTTCAATTTGGTGATCATACCCCAACCATAATTACTAATTCTATGAAGCTTTGCTCTTTTTTAAAAAAAAAAGTCAACCAATTCTGCCAGATAACCTTCATAAGCATCTAAAAACTCCCATTGATTGAGGTAATTTCAGGTTAGCATAACTTACCCAAATAGTGCTGTGATGTTCAAAATAAAGAGATTCAGGCCAGGCGTGGTGGCTCACGCCTATAATCCCAGCATTTTGGGAGGCTGAGGCAGGTGAATCACAAGATCAGGAGATCGAGACCATCCTGGCTAACACTGTGAAACCCCATCTCTACTAAAAACACAAAAAATTAGCCAGGTGCGGTGGCAGGCACCTGTAGTCCCAGCTACTCAGGAGCCTGAGGCAGAAGAATGGCATGAACCCAGGAGGCAGAACTTGCAGTGAACTGAGATGGCGCCACTGCACTCCAGCCTGGGCGATAGAGCGAGACTTCATCTCAAAAAAAAAAAAAAAAAAAGAGATGCAGAGACTGCCCCATATCATGAAAGGCTTTATGAGACTGGAAACATCAAGTGGCATTCACCTACTATGTACCCACAAAAATTAAAAATGTGAAGAAATAAACTTCTTTTAATTAAAGCAATATGAGGTGGCAGCCTCTTCTGTGAGTGATGACTGGAAGGGAACTGCTCCTCATATTTGGGATAGACACTAGGCCTATTCAGGCATTTTTTGAGAATACTGTCTTTGGGTTCTTTGCTTCATAATCACCTTACCCACGAAACTGTCTTAAGAGTACTTGTTAAAACAGTATGGCGATTCCTCAAGGATCTAGAACTAGATGTACCATATGACCCAGCCATCCCATTACTGGGTATATACCCAAAGGATTATAAATTATGCTGCTATAAAGACACATGCACACGTACGTTTATTGCGGCACTATTCACAATAGCAAAGACTTGGAATCAACCCAAATGTCCATCAGTGACAGATTGGATTAAGAAAATGTGGCACATATACACCATGGAATACTATGCAGCCATAAAAAAGGATGAGTTTGTGTCCTTTGTAGGGACATGGATGCAGCTGGAAACCATCATTCTTAGCAAACTATCACAAGAACAGAAAACCAAACACCGCATGTTCTCACTCATAGGTGGGAACTGAACAATGAGATCACTTGGACTCGGGAAGGGGAACATCACACACCAGGGCCTATCATGGGGAGGGGGGAGGGGGGAGGGATTGCATTGGGAGTTATACCTGATGTAAATGACGAGTTGATGGGTGCAGCACAGCAACATGGCACAAGTATACATATGTAACAAACCTGCACGTTATGCACATGTACCCTACAACTTAAAGTATAATAATAATAAATAAATTAAAAAAAAAAAAAAAAGAGAACTTGTTTAGGAGCCTTTTTTTTTTTTTTTTTTGATGCGGAGTCTCGTTCTATCGCCGAGGCTGGAGTGCAGAGTGCAGTGGCGCGATCTCGCCTCACTGCAGCCTCCGCTTCCTGGGTTCAAGCCATATTCCTCCCTCAGTCTCCCGAGTAGCTAGCTGGAACCACAGGCACTCACCGCCATGCCCGGCTAATTTTTGTATTTTTAGTAGAGATGGGGTTTCACCATGTTGGCCAGGATGGTCTTGATCTCCTGACCTCATATTCAGCCTCCCAAAGTGCTGGAATTATAGGCGTGAGTTACCATGCCCAGCCTATATATATTCTTTATTATTCATCTGTTGATGGCTGCTTGTTTCCATATCATGGCTAGTGTATATAATACTGCAGTAAACCTGGGAGTGCGGATATCTATTCAAGATACTGATTTCTTTTTCTTTGGGATATACCAGAAGTGTGATTGCTGGATCAAATAGTTGTTCTATTTTTAATTTTTTGAGG